GTGTGTGTGTGTGTGTGTGTGTGTGTGTGTGTGTGTGTGTGTGTGGGTAGCCATTAAATATAAGACTAAAAGAATCACTAAAACTAAAGATATTTACATGATGTCTCTAACATGTTATATTTTCAGTTGTAGAAACCTATCTTTACTTTTAAAATTGTTCTTTAAATATTGCAATTTATTTCTGAATAGTCCATAGTGCTTTTTTTTTTTTTTTTTTTGTTTTTTTAGAAAGAACTCAAGAGTTTAGAAAGGTGTGGTTTGAATACATACTACAACGGCCTGCCAAACACCTACAGCGTTTGCGCGCGCATGCGCCGATCAGGGTTGACAGTCGTGGTATAAGTGTGGAGGCTAAGCTACATGTGGAGGGTGAAACGGGAGGCATCCCCGACCCTAACTTTGTAAAACAAATATCACCTTTTACTCGAAACAACGCTAAATTAAGTCTAATTGTAAATAAGGATAATATCTTTTTTAAAATGAAAGGGTGAGTATGAGCTTTCTGAGTGACGGACGTGTAGCTTAGCATGAGTAAAGTTTTTCAGGTCAAGGGAGGCGGGCAGGAGACGACGAGGTTAGCTAGCGCGGTAAGCTGATTTTACTTAGATTTAAGGCAAACATGTAAACGACAGCACAGACACTGGAACCGCTTCGTGAGGTAGTTCTTACCCTAAGCTGCTTTTCGTTTCGTTTACCTCGCGAACAAGGTAAGCTAACCAGTTAGGCGCTAGTGGAGAGAGTGCTGACTGAGTAAAGCACAGAAGCTAAGCTAAAGGCAGATAAAAAAACACGACTCTGATTATTTCTGCTTTTGTTGTGGACTTCAGCTGCACAAAGTGGGTGAGCTAAATAACGGGACAAGGTGTTCAGTCAACGCGTGTCACGTTAAGTTGCCAGCGCGATATTCAAACTTGAGAGGTTGTGCCAGCTTCGTGTAACTCGATCTGTCAGAGGAACAAGCAGGCTTCAGGTTTTGACAGATACTTTGAGCTTTAATATGTGTGTTCAGATGACAAGAGGGTGATTAAAGCCGGGGTTTATTATATTACGTAGATTGGATTTCTCAGACTTTACTGTACAATCCTGTAAATAACAGGTGACTCGTTTCAGCTGTTTTAGTTTGTGCAGTCCTATAAATACTACAGTGACTGAACTCCTTAAGGAGACAAAGGAGAGGGATGTGTTGGCTTCAGTTTCTTATAAAACACGTTTGTGTAGTCATACTGATGTTTTTGAAATCTGTGCCATTCCTTTATGTTCTTCAGTCATGTCTTGTTTATTCAAGTAAATCAGAAAAGTCAATACCAAACAAACACAAAAGAACWATTCAAATATTTTTAATATATTCAATTTTAAGAATCTGTAGGATTTCTGCTGCTTTCATCCAGCTCTCTGCAAAGTTGTGAAGCGTTTTCAAAGCTAACAAGTTAGATTTTTTTCTCCTGCTTTTTTATATTTAAAGTTAGTACAAATAGTAAGCAAATTTGTATTTGTTGTAACAATTCTTCTTGGCATTAAATATTGTGATTGGCAGCACAGTGAGTACSAAAAGCTTAAAACGAGAATCAAAAACAGCAGCAAAATAAACTGTTTGGCAGAGACGATTTGGCAAACTTTTCATGTGCGCAGCCCACATACTCAGCTTCTCTGCTCATCGTGCAAATGCATGTTCCTTACAAATGTGACACCATGTAAAAARGTAATTAACAGGCTTTCCAAYGGTATAAGATTTATTGCCAAGAAGCAGTTGCATCAAAGAAATAATMTGCCAAACACAAATGTCCTTACTTTTTGTTTAGATATATATTTTAAGATGTTATGTGTTTACATCTGGTTTTATATTTCTAGTGTTTCAGCTGTTTCGAATATATAAATACTTAAAAGCACCACATTATCCTGTCCTAATTATGAGTTTATTATGAAAGMAATGCAAGTCGGTCGGTCTTGACTTTGTCGGCACACCTGTTGTCAGCCATTTGACCGTTTTGCTCTTGTTCCAGTAGCCGGATCGAGCTGGGGGACGTTACGCCTCACAACATTAAGCAGCTTAAACGCCTGAACCAAGTCATCTTCCCTGTCAGCTACAACGACAAATTTTACAAAGATGTACTGGAAGTGGGGGAGCTTGCGAAGCTAGGTGAGCAATAAACCGTGTAACGTCCATTCAGAACACCTACTTGACAAATTGCTTTAAAAACACCACAAATTCATTTTTTTAACTTAATTATTGTAAGGCTAAAACATTAGAAAATTTAATCTAATCACTGGATTCTGTATTTGGTGAAGAATGTAGCACTTAATAAACTATAKGTGGGAAAAGTCCTGTATATTTATTTGTTTACTTGGTTGTAAAAGGTTTTTATGAACACTAATGAATGTATAACTTGATTTAGACACTTCCTTTCCTCAGAGTGGATTTTATTGCTCGGTTGTCTGWGGGATCATATTTCTGATGTCACGCTCATTTCGACAGAAGTTTAATTTTGTCTTGCAGCGTACTTTAATGACATTGCAGTGGGAGCTGTGTGCTGCAGAGTAGATCACTCTCAGAACCAGAAGAGGCTGTACATCATGACTCTTGGTTGTCTAGCGCCCTATCGTAGACTTGGAATCGGTAAGATGTTCTTTTAAACCATCTTGTGATTTTTTTTTTCCCCCTTACAAGCTGAATTAAAGGCAGCTGGACTTCCTGTTTGATTCTGGGAGACGTTTCTCCAAAATAAGAAGTCCAGTTGCCTTTGTCTCAACTTGGTAGGACTGCCCTGGATGACTGAGAAGCTACACTTGGTGACTTTTGTTAGATTTTTTCTAACTTCACACATTTCTTTAGGCACAAAGATGCTTAATCATGTCCTGAACATCTGTGAGAAGGACGGGACTTTTGACAACATTTACCTGTAAGTGTTGTCGAGCAGAACACAATGTTTTTAACATGATTCGTATTTGATTGTTATGATTGTTAGTTTGATTGACATTGAGGTCACGSATAGCTGAAACACTCCGTGTCAAAACACATGAAGAATTGTAAAGATTGTCCAGAAATACATATTTATTATTATTATTTATTTAGCTGAAGAAGCAGATGCGGCAGGACAGTGACTGCAAAGTAAAAAAAAGTCCTCTGAATATGCTAACCTTTCATAATGTAACCTCTCAACAACTAAACAGACCATGCTGTATCTAAAAACTTTATTTGTCTTTAATTTATTAGTTATGAGATGCTCTAAATTTGACAAATACGTTATAAAAATGCATATAATCCTGTAAAGTATGCAGTTAATTACAGTTTATTCCTTAAAGACTTATGTTTGAGTTGAGCTGCCTGTCTGATGTTAATACAACATAACATAATTAAACGATTATAGTTTTTATTGCTTTGCTGCCAAAACATTTATTGTGTTTTTACTCGTGTGTTTGTGTGTCTGTTACCACAATATCTCACGAGTCTCTGAATTAATTTTAATGAAACTTGAAGAAAGTAATCATCCACATTTAATTAACTTTTGCAGTCAACTCAAATCAAGATGGCTGCCATAACTGACCTTAAAACACACAAAAATAGCTATTTAAATTCATTTTACAAATATTGACCTACTTTCTTTTAGATAGCTGTCTCTGATCCCCAACTCATATTATGAATCCTGACAAACTGAACACGGTTTTTGTTKTGGACTTTGCTAATAGATATTTGCGGCTATTTTAGTGAAATATATCATAAATCACTGTATGGACTTTAATGAAACTTTCAGGAAGTAATCAGTAGATGTACAACTGATTAAACTTTGGAGTTAAAATAACTCACAACTAGCAAATATTTAATTAATTGCACTAAAATTTGGTGTAGTTTAAAATAATGCTTTAGTCTAAAAGATAGTTTTCTGTTCTTTGAGGAACGGTAGGCCTTTATTTATTTTATTTTTAATGGAAGGCTTTTATCTATTTAGGATTTAATAAATGTCTCTTTTCTTTACCTTTCGTCCAGATATATACTCACCAATAACTTACCTTCTCCTTTACTTTTCTGCAGTCATGTGCAGATCAGCAACGAGTCAGCCATCGACTTTTACCAGAAGTTTGGCTTCGAGATCATCGAGACAAAAAAGAATTACTACAAGAGGATAGAGCCTGCAGACGCCCACGTGCTGCAGAAGAGCCTGCGCAGTCCGTGCGCACCGTCCAGCGGRGAGCTTCGGAAGGCCGAATAGGGGCACAGCGTTGGGGGGATTGAAGCACTTAATGTGCCCGCCAACACAGAAACAGAACTGTGCAAATGCCCCGGGGTCAACAGGTTCAACAGTTTCTTCGGAGGACGCTAGACAGAAAACAAGTTTCACATATAAAAATTGCTGCAGTTGTTTTGCAAACGTGATTTTTTTTTTCTTATTTTATTGTTCCCTTAGTTTCAAAAATTGGTTCTAATGACAAAAATATGCCAACTTATGAGAGTTTCAGACGTAGTGAGAGGTGGGGATGTTGCTTGAGAATCRTACTGTTTGTGTTTTGAAGTGTTTTTATGCGGTTATGATACCCAGCAGGGACATATCGATATTTTTTGAGCAAAAGGCAAGCGTTTGAAAGATCATCACTGACTGGCCGGTGTGGAGTTGTCTCTTGGAACAAATGCAACGCTTGTTCTCGCACTACCTGAACCCTGTGATTCACGGGAAGTGGGTGAAACCAGATGGGAAGAGCAGAAATGTTTTTTCTTCTAATGACACAAGGAAGGCTGAACGGTTTGGAGGTGGTGGGGAAGTATGGTCGCTACTTTCACTTTTTAGAGGACTTTGTTTCCTGGCCTTTTAATTTAAGTCCTATCAATTGTTGCTTTTTTAATTTTTTACACTGAGGTGGCAAAAGGTTCAGAGGTTCCCCTGGGTTTACTTCTAAAAGCAGAAAATGATCAGATGTGAGAGCAAGTCAATACTAAAATGTTTCTAGGGCAGATTGTTTGCATGGGTTTGATTTGGCCATTTAGTTTCAAGTAGTGTACTGAGGGTGTGTGAGCATGCTTGTCTCTAAACACAAAGTTTTGAGATAAAGTGACTTCAACACCTTTGGCACTTTATGTAGCCATCTTTCAGAAATGGTCTCAAACTTCCAGCACCAGCTACTTGTTAATTCCCCCATTCAACTGTTTTTTTTAAGTTAAAACAGATTTTTTTTTGTTTTTTAATAGGCTCATGTTAAAACCCAGAAGAAGCTCTGATACCTCTGCATGCAGGGAGAGTGTTTTTTCTCCACTGTAGTATAAGCATGACATTTTTTTCTTTGAAGAATTTTATCTTTTCTGGAGCTCTATATTGTAAGACTTTTTAACGTCAAAATAAAGGAATTACTATTTGCAGTAAACCTTTTTCTGTGCTGCCTCATTCATTATCATCTACCGTGTAAATTATTTGCTCAGAAATGTGTTGAAAGCTTATTTAGATTAATTTGTTGCAGATATAAATAAGGGGATCAAGCTCTGTGTTGCGATTGGCTGATACACTCTAAATTCGGCATCCTATTGGCTGCCGCGAGCTTCAGAACCCGCCCATTTCTGCACGGATTTAGGTGTATCTAGATTGTTTTGAGATTGCTTGCTAGTACTTAGCCTCAAATGGCTAAGTTCTTGCTGGAACATACAGCCTTAAAAATGCCGAGGTTACAGGTTAGTGGACATTTATCTTTAGCAGCGTTTAAAGTGATAAGACGCGATTTATTTTGCCTTTAATTTGCTTAGTAATTATGTAGTTAACGGTAAGCCTTGATAGCTGCTAGCTAACTGGCTAACAGAAAGCTAATTGGCCAGGTTGCTACTTTCTAGCACGTTTAAGTAACGAAATATATGGACATCGACTGCTGTCGTCGTGGTAAGGTTGAAGTAAAACCAACAACTGCGCAGGTGGTCAAACAGACTGTAATTTGCTGTAATGGAAAGAGTTTAAGTCTGCACACTAGCATGTTAGCATCTTGATCTTCCTGTAGTTGTCAGAGCTCAGTCAGTGCAGCAGCAATTATTAAATGACCTTATTAACGACGATTTACGGCTTCATGTTTTGTTTGCAGGACGGGCACAGAGGAGATTTAAGCTCCAGCTGTTGAATGCATCGTTTGCTGGTGTCTTTTATGATACAGGCAACTTTTAAAACAGGATGCCAGAGATGACTGAAACTCAAACACCTGGTCGTAAACCCAAGTAAGGATCATATAATCCCCATAATATAACCAAATTATGAGAATGTTTGTAACAAAACTACTTTTTTTTCCTATTTTGTAGAAAGAAGAAAAACAAAGAATCTCATAATGCAGGTAAATTAATATCACTGTGCTCTTGTTGAAAGTGCTGGTTAATGAAGGTTGTGTGAAAACCTCCTGTAATGTCTTTAAACAAGTGGAAGACAACCACTAACAGACAGTCAACAACAGAAGAATAGTTTCTGAATGTCGTGTCTTTAAAAAAACAGGGGGGAAACAGCAAATAATTAGACACAGGACATTAAATAAGTACCATTCATCCTTCAGCTGATCAGCTAATGTTTGTCAAGTTTTATCTAAAGAGCTCTTTTAGAAACAGCGGCTGCTAACATACTATATTTTATGACTAATTGTGTTATCTTCATTACTTTTAATCCATTTAACTAAAAACACTGGAACAAAGTGTCTTTGTGACAGGCTGCTGGTAGCAATGTGCCCAAAGAGTTGGTTTAAAATGGTTGGTTTGTTTTCTCTCAACTAAACACTGCAGCATCTCTTGAGTTTAGGAGCCTTTTATACCCGACTGAAAACATACATTTTGTTGTAGATTATTTTTCTTCAGACCCCATCTGTATTTTAAAAGGTGTGTGTTTTTATTGTGCAGTTGAGAGACACAGAAAAGAGAAAATCAATGCAGGGATTAACCGTATCGGCAGTCTACTGCCATGTTCCCAGGCACTTAAACAGGTAAGAT